TCATGATAAAATAAAACTTGGAGAATTATACCTTTTATGGTCCAACTGGCCTAAAAGAATAGCCAGTGATCCATTTAACTTTCTGGGAGGAATGAGATAAAACCCAACAAGCAAACCACTCAAGCTAAGCAGCATAGTCAACAATAGCTTTGGCAAATGGGACGTCTCTCAGGAGCAATGAAATAATGGAACTCACCTGTAGGCAAATCAGACAAATCAGAAGAAGCTCTGCTCAGCAACTCAACAAAATTCTGCCACCTGGGCAAGAAAAGGAAACATACTATTGTGATCAATGTCATTGCTCTGGAAGAATGTCCAGTGAAGCTCCGAGTTTATATTGGTAGTGATATTGAAAAGGCTTTTTGATACCTATATCGTTTAGGATTCAATACAGGAAACAAAAACGACTTTGGATATCTCTATTAGAAAGGGCTTTGATAGGGAGAATTAGGTCCCCACAAAATTATTGCAAGACTAGTAGAATGGAGGTTGTGGTCTGCTGCTAGGTTCAGGGTCAGGCCTCAGCAGATGTGGTCCCAAGATCAGGGAACTGCAGGAAAATCTGGCTGATGTCTCAGTTGCCCCTAGCCATGAAGTTGGTCACTAGGCAGCGCAAGGTGCATTTCAGCCCCTAGAAAAACTAATAATACTTGCCAGTTTCTGGAGTTGCTATTCCTATAGGAAAGTAAGTAAATACATAGATTGTCTCTGTGCTACTGTCTCCCACTCCCCAGCTTCTGCCTTTCAAACATCATGGAGTTGTATCTCACTGATAGAACTTGAATCCATTCTAGCAATTTAGTGTCAAGAGGTTTAAAAAATGTTCTTTTTAGACTTCACAAGTAAGGGAAGTATTGTAACACAGAAAAGAGCATAGAAGAGGATAGATATGGTTGCTAAGTGCAAGTAGACAATATTTAGAGAGATGTCCAAGCAGAAATTACACTGAGCAATATGCCTGCAAATTACAATCAGGTAAACATTTAAAGTTTAAAAGTACTTTAGCAAAGCTTTGTTAGTGAAAATCACTTACATTTGCTCACCCAGCATCCATCCTCCATTTATACATAAATATGCTCTTCTCTGGGGGTAATAGCCACCTTTTGGATACACTGAAGATGAGACTATGGTCAAAGTCCCATACTTTGACATTGTCCCATACCCTGTCCTAGCCAATGTTGTGGCTGACCTTGTCTAATTAATCTCAATTTATCTGCCATTTTCTCTTCTCTGTCCCTCTCTTCCTCCCTGTCTCCTACTCTGTTTCTGTCTCTATGTGTCCTTAATTTTTGGTTATGGTCCTTCTGAAAGTCCCCCCCCCCCCCC